AAAGAGTCTTTGCGCATGAAGCAGTCCATCCATGGTGACGGTGACCACCCAGGAATTGCATTCACTTTGCATGCGCTTGGCAATGTGACCGCTCAGACTGGTGACCCGAAGGAGGCCCTGCAGTACCTGAAAGAGTCTTTGCGAATGAAGCAGTCCTTGCACGGAGACGAAGACCATCGAGGAATTGCAGTCACGTTGCAGGAACTTGGCAATGTCACCGCTCAGAATGGAGACCTGAAAGAGGCCCTGCGTTACCTGAAAGAGTCTTTGCGAATGAAGCAGTCCCTGCATGGTGACATTGACCACCCAGACATTGCACTCACTCTGCACATGCTTGGCGATGTGACCGCTCAGACTGGAGACTGGAAAGAGGCCCTGCGTTGCCTGAAAGAGTCTTTACGAATGCAGCGGTCCTTGCACGGTGACGGTGACCACCCAGACATTGCAGTCACACTGCATATGCTTGGCGATGTCACCGTGCAGGCTGGAGACCTGAAAGAGGCACACAAGTACCGGCAGGAGTTGTCGCAAATGGTGTTGCGCTTGCAGAGTAAGGGCTGCGTTGATTGGAGGCTGCAGGAAGTTCTATCTCTGAGGAACTTGGGTCAACTTGTTTGAACATGGTGTTTGCCGTTCTTGGCATATAGTGCAGGTAGGCAGGTAGGCATTACAGTTTCACCATGTTTCAACCATTTTGTTTTGGATCACCATGGTAGATGATGGTAGAAGGAGTGCTGCGCACCCAATGTTGAGCATATTTTTTTGTGCATTGCTTCTGCAGTCTGGGTGTCTGGACGTTCCAAGAACGATGAGCTCGCAGGAGTGTCGGCCCGGGCTAGGAAGCAGGCACTGCATCAGTGCCAGTACCTGAAAGAGCCCCTAGTTCGAATCTATTGAATTCTAGTTCGGCAAGCTGCAGGCTGCTTAAAGACACACAGCAACTGTATCTTCAAGCATTCGCTGTGAAACTCCGCACCTTTTTCCAGCGAGCGAGCGCGCACCGAAAAAGATGCAGATCTGGAAGAGACGGTCTTGGATGTGGATCTCAAGGCTTCAACTCTGCCAGGTACATCATCAGAATGAACAGGTCCAAAGCGTCCAAAGCGTTTTCATCAATCTTTTTTCAGGGCCACCTTGCAGGGCACCAATATACCTCTCTGTGTTTCGGAGTGTTTCGCTGCATGTCGCCCCAAGGGTCCGGTGAGTTTCCTCTACATCCGCTTGGCCATCCGTTCGGTGTTGTCCCTCCAGGCCATCCGCTTGGTGACCGCAGCGACCGGAAACGCGCAGCGCCGAAGGCAGAAGGGGGGCGGAGGGATGCACGCGCGCGTCGTTGCTGGGCAATGCAGGAGGGTTTGGAAGTGAAGATCGTGAAGAGTGCAGGTTTGGTCAGTTCTTTTCCTTCAAATGATGAGAGTAGAAAGCAGGGAACGCTAGCTGGGCAACGCCTGAGTTGCACCGGTTCTTGCGGCCCTTTTTTGGGGAGCCTGCAGGCTCAACAAACCAACTCTAAGAGTATTTCTGCAACGTCCTGTTCTGCCTGAGTGGAAGCACAAACTATTGAATACATATACAAGATCATCAAAGTTTCCGCGTGAGTCTTGTGAGTATCTCTTTTTCCTAGAGGAAGAGTAAGACCAGTACGCAGAGTACAAGAGTACAGTGCAGGATGTTTCTATCCGTACTCTTCGCCCAGTCTGGTCCGTCATGTGGGGTCCGTTTTTTTTTGGGTCCGTAGAATGCGTTTGCATGGGCCCTATACCCCCTGGTCTTTATACGTTTTGTTGGAAGAACATATTAGTGTGCCATACTGTGCCCTTGAAACATATACAAAACACAACAAGCACGATTCGTGGCTTGGACTCACCAACCCAAACATGCGAACTCACCAGAACGTGTGTTTTGCGCGAACTTCGACACTGTCGACACTCGACATGACCAGTGTGTTGTGACAGGTGGAACTCCCAACCCGTCCCAACCCTCGAAGTAGTAACATCATTGACCACCACAAAAACTCCAGCAAGTGGGTAGACGATGGTATAATTCCAAGGTGTTTGTAAGGCGACTTCCTTTCCTTCTCGCCCGTACTTCGGGACACGCATAAGTCCGATCATGTTTAGAGAAGGGTTGCTGAATGGTTCTGAAGAGTTTCCTACATGTTCCTGATGTGGTTGTTTTGGGCTAATCCGGAGGCATTTGTACCTCTCCTGATCAGCCCACGGAACACGCCCAGCGTGCCTCAGCGGTTTTGCCAGGTCGGCTTCGTGCCAGTGCCTGGATTGCCACTGGTGGTGTCGGAAGGGTCGCGGATGTTCCTGGTTCGGGAAACTTGTGGCAATTACTTAGACGTCCTGTGGCCCGTGGTGATGCTACTTGTACCATGTGGCAGAAAAGCATGGTTACTTGGCCAAGATCAAAAGAATATCTCATCAGGTTCTTATTGATCCCAGTTGCTTGGACTGCTTGAGATAGTCCTGCTAGACACAGCTCACAGATCGGGTTCTCATGGGATTCGCCATTCCTGACGACCAGGCTGTGTTGGATCATTATCCAACCATTCTTGATGGATAGTGATTGGATTGTATAGATGTTTTTTGTGACTGTTTTTTCGACATACCTGTTCGACATACCTGTTGGACATAGTATGAGATAGTGTGCCCCAACCAGTTGATGGACAAGCAAAGCTGTGGCCACTGAGGTGTTCATGACCTTGCGCCAAGAGAGCTCCAAGTTCCGCAAGGTCCAAGTTACGCAAGGCCATTCTCGGCGTGTTTTCTGTACTTTGTTCTCCCATGTCCTTTCTTGCAATTTTGGCGGTTGCTTTTTCTTGACTCAGTGTACAGTTAAATTTTATAAACAAGATCAAACAAGTCTATTCACGGCTTCGTTTTTTCGATAACCACCCCAACTCTCGACCAAATGCATGCCAACTGGCACTGGAGGTTGGGTAACTCGCTCAGCCCTCCAGAGAGGTGAAGGTAACCTAAACAAACACGTCCCGACGTCCGACAGCGTCAAGCACAGGCTGGTGGACGCTGTTTGAATCCATAGCTGGAATCCATTCGTCAGGTGTTCCGAATTGTCCGGCACACGGAAGCTGACACATCACACATCCCTGGAACGAATCCCATGGAAAGTGCTTCGGGTGCCCCACCTGCCAGGTGAGGGTTGTTAGATTTAATCAGAGCCCTTCTCCTCTCCTCCTCTCCTCCGGGCCTCAACAGCCTCCCCCTTCAGCCCTTCGGTTCGCGGCGATGGCACAGGTGCAGCGAGCCGCACGCGCCGAAAGGCGGGGAAGGCGGAGATGGCGCGGAAAGTTCAGTGGAGAAAGAAGGGTGGCGAAGTGCGAAGCCCGTTGCGTGACAGGAAGTGAAGGAACAGCTGGAGGGGGAGGGTTGCAATGGGCTTTGGTTGATGGTTGTTTTACTTGGGTGTCAGGAGATGGTGGCTGGTGAGTGTTCTTGCTTGTTGCGATGTATTAGACGCCTTTGCAGGTTGGATAAGACAGAAGGTACGGAAACGGAATGGACTATCAACTCGGCATAGAGGTGCAACGTTGCTGCATGACACATTGCACCCCACTCCGAGTGGAATCTCCACACCCCTTGGAAGTGACATTTTGCAGCTACAGAAGCTGATCAAATGATTGAGTTTCAATGAGTTCTGCGTTTTTTTCACGTTCACCAACTAAGTTCCTTCACGTTTTGGTGGTGACCATCGGTGACCAACAAGAAACGTTTTGGTGGTCCAAGACGCTCCTGTGACCGATGCGGAGCCGCCTCGGCCTGGGCTTTGGCACCAGCTCCACAACGGTCCGCTGGTTTGGCTTGGGAGATGACTCTTTCAACCATGCTCCACATTGAGTTTTCTTTTTCCAGGTTCCTTGTCTCTAATAGTTTTTATCTCATGGTTTCCAAATGTTTCCACTCATTTGGAACATGTTTCAACTGCTTTCCCAAGCGGATTCTGGTAGTTAATTGTTATATTATATAAGTTAGTGAATGATCACTGGACCATCCCCCAAAAACCCAGCGGTTAGTAACTATTTGCCGAATCCTTCCAGCTTTTGTGGTGAAAAGAACCATCGACCTGCAGCTGTTTGGCCCTCCAGAATCCCCGGGTGGAGGCGCTTGGGCTCGGCGCAGGCACTTGCTGCTCGGCTTGCACCGACGCTTCATCCCAGTCTTCTATCTCTTAATAATAGACCCAACAGATCTTCCAAGCTATACTAGGCTATACTTACCAATTATACTGGCTGGATCTACATGTTCAGCTTTTTTCCCCTTATACATCTTCCCAGAATCTGGTGAATTTGGGGGATTTCTCACACCTTCAAGTAGTTGATTCCCTCCCAATTCCTTCTCTTCCAGACCATCGACTTCCAGGCCGGTGTCGACCATGCGTGCCTCCTTAGCCGCGGGAGTCCGATGGGCCCTGGGCCGTCCGCGCGAGGCGAGCGCTAGCTCCCTCACCGCGATCCAGCTCATCCTCCAGCTGACGATTCCCCTTTGATTGAATTCCTTGAGAGTGTTTTTTGTTCATAATATAGGACCGAGGAGATGGTGTTGAGAAGAATCTCTCAGAACTGACAGATGTAGCAAGCTTCGTGCTTAGTCAAGAGATTGTCATCGGGTTGGTTCACAAGGCTTCACATTTTTCAATGCAACAGATTGTTTCACCCCATGTCCTTCCAGTTAAGTTCTTATTTTCCAACTTTGCTTGAACTTCAAACAACCAGTCCTGAATTCCTGACGCCATTCTGCACGTAGAAAAATACGACTTTCTTAGCCTTGCGGCCGTGTATGACATATTTTGTTCTTTGAAGAACATGTTCACATGGAATGGTGACAGTCACTGCATGGAAGCCTAGTTTTACTTGTGACAGTATTTTACGATCACTTCCATGTTAGTGAGTCCAAGTGGTTTGCTTGACCAGATCGAATCCTGCTCTTACATTCCATGCCAGGTCTCCGCAAAGGAGTGGGCCGGCCTGAAGAATGGTGTTCATTGAAAAGCTGTTGTACATGGTACCTTCCCTTGCGGAGCATCCACTTGCGGGTCTTATCCATTGGTATTACACCAACAGAAGCAGGGATTCCATGTTTCCCAGTAGTTCCCACTATGTTCCCAGTACTTTTTTCATATTTATTTCTTTTCCTCTTCAGATCTGGGCTTCAATGAACTGATGTTTTTGCATGTGTTTAAATGCCCGGGCCAAGTGTCAATTAGCTCATTGGTGGCATGCTGCATGCCTGAGTAGAGTCAGTTGAACGTTGCTAAAGCCCTTCTGATTGTGAAAAAGGGATGAAACAAAGGCCATACACCTCCAGGCGCTCCAAAAGACAACACATAACCCGCTCCATGTCGTTCTTGTTTTGCTTCAAAATGTTTCAAAGAAAAAGAACCTCCCAAATGTCATTCACAGGCTAACCTGCTTGCTATAAGAAGTCTATATCGAATCTAATTCATGTCGTTCTTGTTTTGACAATGTCATTCACAGGCTAACCTGCTTGCTATAAGAAGTCTATCTCGAATCTATTCATGTCGTTCTTGTTTTGACACTGGAAAAAGGCCACCCATTAAACAAATGGAACGCTCACACAATACACACGAAGCAC